GCTGTACAAAGTATCGATTAATCCCTGTTCCTCACATTTCCCAAGACCTTACACATGCGCGAAGTTATACCGGGAACACTTCATGCGTAGGGCGGAGCTTTTTCCGCGGAAGATTCCTTTAAGTGGTCTCTTCATCGTCGGCTTCCTCCAGCGATTTGCGTTTCTTCTCCGCGACGCGTGCAACAGCCAAATTGTCACATGAAATGTTTGACATGGAGGAAAACGTTCCAGCCATGATTTGGAAGCACCTCAAACACCTGATCGTGTCTTGCAATCCAATTATTCAACACGACAGCGTTTTTGGACCTCAAACAAAGAGAGTCATATAAGGAATGGAGCTTTTTGCATCCATTCGGCGTTAAAGGCTCACTTGCTCGTTAACCATGCTTCGCCTCTGCCGTTTTTTAGGGAAAACTTCATAGCTCGATCCAATGAATCGTTAGTGCTACACGCAAAGCTGAGGTCAGCGTCCATAAACAATACTGCTGGTACACAGATCTCACTATACGGGTCATTTCAACCTGTCCCTGTGAGATAAGAACCTTTCCTTTTCATATAGGTTTGGATTTTTTATGGGGTAGTTTTCCCAGTTTGCTTCGCTCGATACTGAGCGTTTTCTAAACTGCGTTTCAAAATTGAAAGTGTGTAATGAGTTCCCAGTGCACATAGAATAAAGATGGCGGTCAATGATTCGTACCTCTTACCTGCCTGCTACTCACCACTGAGCTCGAACAAAATTTTTCTCACAACTGAACTGCTGAAAGGAACTGACATGAGACATTGCTTCATGTAGTGAGATGTCGAGGTGATTGCATGAAACATCGTTAGAGCAACAATCCAAGAACGAATTACGCGGGCAAAAACCACCGATAATGAAGCTAGGTGAAAAGTTGACCGATAATGAAAGAAAAAGTAAAAAAAACGTCGAACAGGGACTCAGACTCCCCTCTGCCACTTAGCAATGGAGGAAGACGCGTGTTGGACGAGTTGTCTGCCCACAGTAAGTACGCTCCAATTGCATTGCTGGCAAATAGCTAGCAATAGTTGGCTATTTGCCAGCATAGCGATCATTTGAGGATTGCCTTCTTCGCACGGAAAAAAGTGTCCGTCTGTAAAAAAAAGTCGAAAAAACTGTAGCCCCATCGATTGCTTTGAAGGATCGAGCTTAAATAGTCCCTGTGGTCCCAAAACAGCCGCAAATGCCTCCGCAGCCAATCGCGCTCTCCACAACCGGCAAGTGGGCGGCCCTCGAAAATCGGTAAGCCCCTCCCACTTTGAAGGCGTTAGACGCTCTTCCAACGATTTCAAAGGTGAGTTTTCAACTAAGTGACACTTCCTATGTACTTGATCAGGATTAGTGGGTCTTTCCATCTCTTAGAATCGAATTGTTGAAACCCTGCTCGAGCTGTTGCTTTAAACACCGATCGGACTCAGCTGTGGATACTGTGCAGCACAATTTGCTTGGAGATCTTATGATACAAGGGTATTAAGAGAAGGCCAACGTTGACTGTGAGCGTTTTCAGTTTCTGACAAAAATTGTAGGGTGTCCTGAACTTGTAAACGCTGACGTTCAAAAATCCGTCGAGCAAAATTTACTGCATTTTTCCATTGTTTTGTCCTCTGAGGCACAGACTGTAAATATTAGGTTGAGCAGAAATTATCTGCCGCTTTCACTCCACACATGAGTTTATTGATAGAAACAAACAAGAAAATTAATTAAGACGTTCTCGAGCAGCTTCACTGCGAACGTTCCTTCACCCCAAGCTTCGTTCTTTCTGCGAGCAGATGCAGGAGCTTTCGGTTTTGCTCAAGCTTGCACTCATGTAGCATGAGCAATCTTTTTTGCTCGCCTGTAAGCTCCATAGTGAACCAGCACAAGTGTTGCACTCCAAAATGTACAATCAGATTGCGCGCTTTCACCTTACATCATCTTCAAAAATTATCACCTAAACATCAACGAGTCATGAGCTCAAAAAAAAACGGCGGCTAATTCCCGCTCAACCTAAACATTAGCGTGCCCCAAAAGTTCGTGCAATTTTTGCTACATGTCTCAGTCAACATTATTTCAAAAAAGCAGTATTTATCGACAGTACATGAATCATCACAAACTTGTTGCAAAGGCAACCAAGTCAGTTTCGAGGTTTTCCTTGTGATCGTGTTTCTGTCCGAAAGGTAACCCCTGATCTACGAGAATAGATAAAGCAGACGGGAGGAGGCGGTTAGCACTGTTTGATGAATCTGGTAGGACTTCTTGGCGAAGTTTCAGAATCCCGGTTGCGCCTTTTGCGAAATGTGTGGTTTTGATTGTCGTTCAGCAGTCCATAAGCAGCTGGACCAACATCGAAGAAACAACTCTGTTTCATATCCAGATAATAGTTTCTCCGAATATGGAACACAGAAACATGCCCGCGGAAAGCTTCCTAGTCCTGACATCGAAATTCGACAGATTGACATCAAAGACTTCACTGTCTTTTGAGAAAACTGTGAAAAACCGATGAGCATTTTAAATGGTAGTATTCCCTCCAACAAATGCAATGTTGGTTTGGTGGGCGGAAGTTGTAGCTCTCAGCAAGAATTTTGAAGCATTTGGTACACACATGCGAATTTGCACACTGGACCCAGGAATTTTCAAAAAAAAGTATAAAAATTGGGGGAAATTGTGAACCAACAATAGAAAACAATAAGCAACATATTTCGCAGTATTAATGAGCAGCAAAAAGGACTTTCTGAGATATTGATTTTCCATAGTAATCGGCCCCAAAACTTCCTGAACTCAGAAAAGCGACACTAAGATATCCGGTACCTAATACATATAATCTTTTTCAAAGAACATGTCGGAATGGAAGACATGTTTGCAGCAGCTGAACCCCTCAGAATTGCGTTGAAAAAGCGAAAAGTTCATTATAAAGCACAATTTGTCGAACTCTATAGGCACAGCTTGAAACCATGAATTTGTGCACATTCAGTATTGCAAAATCCCTGAAAACTTGCAATTTTGAAACGCAGTGTACCTGCACCCAGTGAATTGTAATGTGGGAATGATTGCTTCATGTGTACAAGAATGCTTTGTTGTGCCTGATTGAACACAGAGTTGTCTGCTGCAGAATTATTCGGTTACATTTTTGCGATGCTGGAACAACCGATCTTCAGAGTACCATTATATCGTGTCGAATACAGCAGCGCCATCGACATGTGGTTGGACAAGTTCGAGCGCACTAAGGGACCATTGACGATAATGAAAGCGGACGAATTCAGGGAAAAAAGCATCAACCAAATTGCTTCGGTTCGCATATGAATGTTCATTCTAAAAGACATCATTGCAGCGTCTTAATTGCAGGCAATCCGCAATCAAGTAATAAATACTGCGTGTCAGCACGTTGTTATCGACAATCTTCAATTCTTGGTGAATCAGTCGACAATGAGTGATGATCAGTCGAGTAGCCTGGATCGTTTTCACATGCAGGTATATCATCTACACGTTTCGGTTTACCCACTTCTTTTTCTTTTCACAATTGCATCCCAGTGTCGCTTACAAGCACATTACATGATATTTTCCTCCTAATTATCGAGTTCGCAGATTTTGAGAAATGACTCAAAGCATATTGCAAGTGATTACTGCATAAGAAGGTCTTGGTCGAAACTCGTACCTAAATTAAGGAGCAAAAATTCTGGGGTTGTCCCATAACTTCTGAACGAATTTCGATGCCTCCCTTCCTTCAAGCTTCGTCTTTCCTACAAAACAATTGATGGAAAATATAATCGCTGTCATCCTACTTGCTATAATGCGCTTCGCCTGTCGTCTGTGTTCTGTCATTCTGTCATGGTGTTTACCACGAAATTCCTCTGCTCCTTGAAGCAACAATCCAAGAACGAATTCGCGGGCAAAAACCACCGATAATGAAGTTGTAGGTGAAAAGTTGACCGATAATGAAAGAAAAAGTAAAAAAGACGTCGAACAAGGACTTAGGCAGGGACCAGGGTCAACCGTTACGTTTGAACTGATTTTGGAGCGGCGTTGGACCGATGTTCACCGCTCTCCGCGCCGGCATTCACTCTCGCCACCCGCGAGCCGTCATGCTGTCTCGTGCCGTACGCTTCACGCTCGGCTGACGGTCGTACGTCGGTTGGACTTTGTCCATGCAGGGACTCCTCTCTCCACTTACAATGGGGAACGACGTGTTGGACGAGCTTCGAACAACAGAAATCGTTACGTTTTGAAATAGTGGCAACAGTAGAGCGAAAAAAACTATATATAATTATAGAAATCCTTAGCTCTACTCATGGATAAATTGAAAAGTTTCTACGTCTCCAGATATTTTACAAGTTTCGAACATCCACAAAAAGGTTCCTATCAATGATTAGAGGGAGTTATGAGGGCTGTCCCAAACAGTATTTCCTCTTGAAACCAGCGTGGCGCGTAATTTAATGTTTCTATGAAAAATCTAAATGAAAAGTGTGAACTGCAGAGCAGTAAAAAGATGTGGCAACATAGTCAGGAAAGCTACAAAGATGGTTTGAAGGCTCAGCAGCCATTAAGGGAAAGCACAACTCCAACCCGTAAAGTTGAACTTAGAGAGAGATTGAACAAAGTTGAGCCTGCGCCAATCGCCCCATTGGAGCAGACCTTTCATGGCGGCTTTGAAATTTTTCGGATAAGACTGGTCCAGACAAAGAGTTCCTGCGGATATAAGCACTTTTGCAGTGGCTTGCGAAGGTGGCCGATTCACTTCAACGCTTGCAATTTTAGTTGAGGAGATGTCAATGGTGTTAGTGTTTTTTGTAATGATTGGGTCAAAATTTCGCTTCCATTGACTGCACAAGTGGACTCCAAGTGATTTAGCAGAGCCTTGCAAGGACATCTGGCCTCTCCCTTGAGCTGATCAAGTCGGCTAGCCTACGTAGTCATACAGAACAGCACAGGTACCCATGTTGGTCACTCAACCAGAAGAAGCATTTCTCTCGAAACTCAGATGAACTGAACAGATTATTCTGAAGTTCTAGTCGTATTTTAGTAGAATATCTCAGGGGCGTCTTTGTCATGAAGAATTATGCGGATAAACGCCAGTTACGAACTTCAAAAGAGCTGAAACAAGCAACCTTGAAACACGGAAGTGAATCGATGGTCATCTGCCTTGGAATCTCAATTCCAGTAGGCCACGGAGACTATTCGATGTTGCCCTTGATAAAGGAGGAACCATACATTATTATGTCTTTTTATCTGTCATTGATCTCAGGTAATTGTTCTTTTTCTCAGGGTGACCTTATAATTATGAAACGGTGCAAAAATCGAAAAATAATTATAAAAAAGTTCGAAGAAAAGCTGCTCCCACCAAAATTGCGATACAGGGGTTATTCATAGTGGGGAATCATTTGGTGATAGTGGAAAAATCACCAGTTGGCTGCTGGTTCCGGAAATGCAATATTTTAGGGTGACCTTACAGTTATGAAACGCACTGTAGGCATGTCGTTCACCGCTACAGCGTGTTTCACCTTTACCAGCGCTTTCGATCTTTTGATATTTTTATAAGAAGCCAGCAGCGTCCCGCACACTCCATTACAGGTAGGGCTCTTACGGAAGCTCCACTACAAATTCTTCGTTATGGGCACCATTGTGTAGGTAGAGGGGGCTGCGGAACTCCAGAAGCTGGCCGAGGCAGCTCGTCAGGAGCCCTCGTACCGCGACAATATTTATTTCTTTCATGACATTGCGAATCACCATGATCCGAAATGAGCCCGGTAAGAAATTCTGGAGCTGCGGCAAGATTTCTTACCTCTCTTAGCGTATTCCCCTGGTCGAGCTATAAATGACTGCCACCTATCCTGGACCTTAAATCATCATCTTGATGACGAAATAATTAGACGATCAACTCCAACTCGAAGTGAGGTCGCCTCATCAAGAAATCTTCTCAGCGTGATGGACACTCATGGTAGATATAAGACCGGTCAGGAGTTGTAAACAAAAAAGATAAAATTAAAATCAAAAATTTGAAAAAGTGTTGCAGGACTTTCTTCCAACCTAATATAATGCATGCAAAAATTCTAACTCACGAAAATATCATCGGTGTCAGAATGAGGTTAAATGGGGTGAATGTCAACAGAATCGTCTGGATACCCGTGCTAATGGTCGTGGCTGCAACGTCGCAACTGGACCAGTTTCTGTGTGCGTTGAAATTGAAAAATTGAAATTTGAATGTCAGAGGTCACTAAACAGGCCCTTAACATTCAACTCTAGTGAATGTGCGGATAGTTTCAGTTCCCTCAAACCTTTTTCTTTTCGCTGTTTCAACAACGCTGATGAGCTTCGAAAAGAAACTTGCTCACGCCATCTTCTAGAAGGCAAGTTGAATTGCATTTGATATCCGCGCCCCACGCAGATTATTGTGGTCTGCGTGAGACTCACTGCTCCAACGGTCCAATTCAAATAGAGAGATTGTGAGATTTATGACACGCGTAGAATATTCCATTGTCCATGGTGTTTCATTTCCGTTGCTGCCGGGCACTATACGAGGAGAATGCTGGAGAGTGGTGACACAGAAGGTTGGTCATCCATAGCGCCT